GGAGGGCAAGGACAAGGGGAAAAATGAGAATCAAGACCTATTATGCAAAGGTACAGAATCCCAATGATGAATGTAATTGTATTGTATACCTAGATTGTACCAATAAACTCAATAAAAAAAAAAGATGATGAGCTAGGATTAACGGTATCTATTGAGTACCTAGTCACATAATTGCCTACCTAGTATTAGAAAGCTGTTGTGCCAAGGAGATCGAGCTACTGTGAACTAAGGAGATTGAGTGCAGAACTCTGCCTTCATGAGGTTTGTGTCCTGGCTTCACTTGGGGACACAGCATGTTGTGTTCTACAGATCCGCTCCTTCCAGGAGTGTTGTGTGACTTGGGAAGTCAGCTGGGACATATGGGCTGGATGAGATTCAAATTTACTCTAGAAAATATGGTATTTTTGCTTCCTATAATGTCACACTTAGGCAGAAAAGCCTTTGGGCATTAAAAGTGTAGATATGCTTTAATTATTCTAAAAGCTTGTTTTCCTGATTACTTTGAAGAAAAAAGAGAAAAAGGAAGAGGAGAGATGAAAAACAAATTTATGAATTGAGTTTATTGGTACAGTTTCGGAACACATTATAATCACATTCACCACAGGGAGTTTACCTGTACATGATGTACCTTGGTTCTTATTTTTTTCCTATTCCCATTCCTTCCCTTTCACCCCTCCACCCTCTCTATTTACAGAAGATTTGTTCCCATTGCTTCCTTCTTTTCTCATTTTTCTTTCTCTTCTTTCCTGTCCCCCACCCCTCCCTAGTTCCCCTTCCTCTTTGAACATTTTCTTCCTATTTCACAATATCTATTATACATTTCAGATCTCATTCACACTGTTTCTCCGGTGTGAGAAAAATTCTTTTAAATCTATAAAAAATTAAATGTATTCTTCCATCCACAGATGAGCCTTATTAGCATTTTTCTGAATATCATTCAATATGTGTGTAGATTACAGATTATTATAGCTTCTGCAGTTTTTTTGCCTTCATTTTATGTCTTTTTACATAAAACAAGAATGAGATCAATATGCAACAGATATGTGTAAGAATATTATTCACAGCACTGTTTACAATTGTCTGCTCTAACTTTTTACATTTAGTCTTTTAGAGTCATTTTCATGATTTTAAAAGTAAAACACTATAGCAAACAATATAATTTTGCTATGGCACAGCAGCAGCATTAATATTTTGATATACTTTATCTCTATTCATATTTTAAAACAAATATTTGTCTGTATTATTTACAGTTTAGTACTCTTTTCTTCTTTACCATATACAATTTTCCTAAACTCTTTAAATATTTAGGTATTTTATCAGATAAGCCACATTTTTTGAAATATTATTGCATATTCTGGTTATAAATAAGGACGTAGATGTACATGCATTTCTTTAGTGCACCATGGTAGGTAGTATGGTAATAAATTATAGCTTTTACTTCACTGGTTTGTGTTTCCACTTACTAGTGCAACACCCCATGTTCCCTCGGTTCCACCCTCATTTCTATAGATGCCTGGCTACATATTGGTGCATTTATCACCGTGTCTGGTCTGCTGTTTTCCTAGATACCCTTGCTTTCTCCTTACTGGCTTGGATTCCAGCCATCCAATCTTGCCCATTAAGTAATGCTGCAAGCCTCACTTTACCTACCCGCACCCCACTGGCACCACACTGCAGCTGGGAACCGCCTCTTTGTCGAGCCACAGGTTTTTCTAGCAGTGAGCTCCCTTGTGCAATATGCTGCCCCTTTTGAAGAGATGTTGCCTTCAGAATCCCTCCTATGCCCCAGGGCCCTCCTGGCTGCCTGAGTTACTGTAGTGACGCCAAGATACAAAAATGTCTGTTAATTATTAGAAATTTTCTTAGAGGCAAAATTGCTTCTTTTTCTTTCTTAAAATTACATTTTCAGGTCTAAAAAGCAGTGGAACACATACCCTCTTCGTGTCAGGCTTGATCTGGCCATGACCCGTTTAATGAATGTTATTTAATCCCAAAATAGTTTTAGCAGATATGAAAAACTGCAGCTTTCAGCAAAAACACACTGTTGCTTCAAGTGTCTAAAGACCAAATATAGGCTGTACTGTTTCTGGCAAGATACTGACTGTTCTGTCTCTGGGCAGACAGCACACAGAAAGAGAAAAAAGGTCAGACTTCAAAGTACAGCACAACATCTTCCCTGCACTGAGTTACGATGTGATGACATCCATACATCTGCCTTGACCACTGCATGGACCCTGACCACCAATATTTATCCCTGTAAGTGACGGACCCCTTCCCAGCCCCCCACATAATCCCCTGCCTTTTTTTGTTCCCCACCAACAGCTTTCTCACCCTCAACCCATCTGCATCCTGGTGAACAAAGGCCACGCCTTGTTGCCTTCCATTAGCCTGCTCAGGTGGTCTCATTCCCTCGCTGTTTGTCATCCTGTTATAAAGTTTTTTGTAAACTGGCTTTTCCGGTTTTAATGATGGTTCTCTCACAGAATTTAGGCATACATATCGCAGGAACTGGGCTAGAGAATGATTTGCAAGGGACAATTTGTTATACTTCGGATCATTCTGCATTGTCGATGACTTTGGTTGTGTTAATTTAACTTCTTGGTGCCTGGCTTCTATCTTTATCTAATTTTCTTGGGACAATATGCTTTCACGAAAATATAATGTTTAGGCATAAGCTGGGACTTATGTACCTTTTTGCCTCGTAAGTTCTTCTAATTATTTGAAAGGGCCTTACCAATAATATCTAATAATAGTTATGGATGGAGTACGTAATGGAAATACTATAGTGATATTGCTTGTCCATATTTATAAGACCACAACTCATAATAATTAAATTTTGGAAGTTACCTCTACACACATCAACGGATGAATGGTGAAAGAAAATGTGGCGTTTACACACAATAGAGTACTACTCAGCCGTGAAGAAGAGTAAACTTGAGTCCTTTGTAGGAAGATGATTATCCCCGGAGTCTATAATCCTACATGAAATAAATTGGACACAGCACATCAAACATGGTTTATATGAGAAACCTAAAATATAAATAATTTAAAGGGCAAACAAAAGAAATGATAGGAAACGAGATAGACTTTGTGGAGACATGGAAGGGACCTCGGAATAGTGAGAAATGGAAGCTAGAGAAGAAGTGCGTTAGAAGGGATCAAAACGCAGTATGTACATGGACCAATCCCCAAGACAAATAGATCTAATAGGTATTGAAAACATACTAATAAAAATGTTTTAAAAGATTTCAAATGGAGTTGTCCTGTCTCTTCCTTGGTCAAGATGTCAGACATGATAAAAATCATTTTCTGACCACTGCTAACTGTTTTATATGATTTCCGAGGTAAATGTATATGAAGGCATTTTGGCAGCAGCCATGTGCTTGGATTTTTATCCTGGAGCTTTTGGCCTCTAAGCCTTTCCCAGTCTGGAGCTTTTTCTGAAGCGTGCGTGGCATTTCTCAGTCAAGGAGCCCCTGTTTCTGCTGATAGCCATTTAATTCCAAAGGTGGAATAGGAATCAATACTGAGTCATTGGCTCACAGAGAAAAGAGCTGGCTTTTGGTCTCACTAACACCTCCCTCTTTCCCTCTCAGACACTCCCTGACTTCTGCTTCAGACTCTGCTGGTCATCAGGCAGTAACCACAGTGTGGGTGAAACACTATGAGCTACGGGTCCTTTACATGTGTTTCTGTGTGAGTTGGAATAGCACCTGTTGGGGCTCCTTTGTCCTGGTTTTTATTCCTTTTTTTATTCATTAATTTTATTGGAACATTTTAGGTATGCAATCTGCTGACATTCATTATTGGGAATTTGTACCTTTACATAATTTATCTTGGTTCTTATTTTCCCCATTCTCCTGCCTTTCCTTCAACCCCTCCACTGCTCTCTATTTACAAAGACTTTGTTTCCAATTTTTCATTGTCTCATATTTATTCCCTTCCCTTCTCTCCTTCCTCCTACCTCTCCCACTTCCCCTTCCCCTTTGGACCTTTTCTTCCCAGTTTTTCTGTAGTGTTCTTTTCCAACACATCAGCACAGAAACATGACCCTTAAACATTTGCTTTCTGAAATTAATTTATCTGGATTGAATATAAAAATCAGAAAGACATATAGCTTACAAAATAAGCAAAGCAGAAAACCCAAAAATATATGAAAAGGTGTTGGACCTCTTTGTATATAAAGAAATGGAATGCATCTGGAGTTGCTTCTGCATCTTCCAGTCTATTCCACTGATCCTCAGGTCTGTCATACCATCATACCATGATATAAGCTCACCCATGTTTATAGCGGCACAGTTTGTAATAGCTAAAACTTGGAAACAGCCCAATTGCCCATCAGTTGGAGACTGGATAAAGAAGATGTGGTTTTTCTATGGAATAGTATTCAGCCATAAAGAATGAGAAATTAGAGTCATTCATAGGAAAATGGATGCATATTGAGGTCATACGCAAGTGAAATAAGTCACACATGTGTAAATACCGAATAGTCTCTCTGGTGTGGAAAATCTAAAAGTGTAAATAAGATCCTGATGGTATAACTGACAATGTGAAATAGGAAGAAAAGTGCTGAAGGTGTAGGGGAAGTGGGAAGGTAAGGGAAAGGAAATAAGGGAAAAGAAAAAATATGAGAAAAAAAATGGAAAAATGTTTTTGTAATAGGGGAGGGAGGAGGGTGTGAATGGAGAGCAGGGGTATGGGGAAAACCGAGACCTGTCATGTAAAGGTACAGGATCCCAATGATGAATGTAACTGTACTGTATACCTAAAATGTACCAATAAACTCAATGAGAAAAAAGAAGTAGAATATATGAAACAACCATAAAATTTCATTTATTTTCCATGTTATTGATAAAAGCTAAAAAGCCTGATGATATCTTGAGCTGCTAAGAATAAAATAGTGCAGAAGCATATATTGTAAGAGAGTAGGTGAGTACTTCCTTGTTGATTTGACAGCATATGTATGAATTCGAATTCATGTACCTTTAACTGGAGCATTGCACCCTTAAAACATACCTCTCTGGCACCCTCACTAAACTGTGCCAAGATATATGTGTTTAATGTTCATATAATGATATGATATATGAAAATGATCAACAGCCATCTACCAAGAAAGGAAAGACATAAAAAAGGCCTAGGTACCTCTAGGATCTCAACCAACAGAGAAATGAAAAATGCGTCATTGAAAAGAATAAGGTATATACTGACAAGAAAAGATTTGCAAGACGCATTCAGTGGAAAAAGTAATGTAAAGAGTCCAGTGGCTATTGTGATTCTGCTCTTTGCAAATAAAAATTATCAATCTACTTGATGTCTTTTTCCCCTTATCAGATGAGAGTAAATACAAATAGTTACTGCCTTTGAGAAGAGAATGGTCAAGAAGAGACACTTTCTTGTTTCATTTAAAATTCTCTGAGTTGCCTTCTCATAACGCAATTTTTATTTATTTTTTAAAAAATGGAAACAGGATATATGTGAACTGGGGATTCACAGACCAAAGTTCTATTTTATAAATATACAAAATATGTGTCTATGTTTTTTTAACGTTTTTATTCTAAATTTTTGAGAAAATTGTACGTTCACATACAATTATAATGTTAATGTATGTTAATACAATAATATAATTATTAGAATAATGAAAAGAACTTTTTAAAATATATCTTTTTATGTAGCCTTTTAAGTGCTGCTGAGTGGTAGCTATAGGTGTTTTTCAAGGGTGTAAGTGTTTACCTTGAAGTTGAAGACTTTTAAAGTATTATCATATTAAAAGCATGACTGGGTGGAAAAGATTCTCAAACACAGCAGAACATTAGAATCACCTGTAGTCTTTAAAAAGTAATAATGCTTAGTCTTCATATAGCAATTAAATCAGAATCCTTTGTGAGAGCAGGGAAGAAACACAAATGTTTTCTCCTGGGCAACAAGAGTTGAGAACTAGCTAACATTGGCTATAGTTCTCAGATTTTGATATACATAAGAATTTCCCAAGAATATTGTTAAAATGGAGACTGAGTGCATGTGTTTGGGGTAGAGTCAGAAATTTTGCTTTCTAACAGGTTTAGGTTGACGATAATGCTGGACCACACTTGGAGTTGCAGAGGGCTAGAGGTAAGAGCTGCTACTTGCTCAGAGCTTGGATTTTGAAATCTCCAGGGCTATATATGATGATATAGGAGATGCAAATGTAGAAGAAAATGTGAATTTGAAGATAAATGCATCCAGAGAGGTGGAAAGGAGTGTGATGGGAAAGAAAGGGGTGCTGGTGAACTGAAGTAAATGGCTAGTTGTCAGTCTGATGACTTTCCTTTTGCATTTTCCTTGGGAAAATATCATTGTCCTTTGGAGGAACCTTGTCTAAATTTCACTGTTTTCCTAAGCAGTCATTATACACATGGAGAGTAATAATTTTGAAGGAAAGTTTTGGATCAGTTCCCTTAGAAAATACAAATGCCTGAATGAATTTATAGCTCTGCTTAGTCTTGTCTGAGTGAGCACCTTCACAATGAAATGGCTTCAGACATTTTGGAAGCTATGTAAATGGCAGTGAGAGCACTCGAGTGAATGTTAACAGATACTTACGGAGCACCCAATATCGGAAACTTTCACTTATATTATCTAATTTAATTTCAAAGTAACTCTATAAGCTAAGCAAGATTTTTACATTCTCATTTTGGGAGTGAGAAAACAGAATCTAAAGCGTTCAAGCATTCAGCCTCTTTCCTAAGGCCACATAAATTTAAAATAGCAGCATCTATGCTCAAATGTTTTGAAGTTCAATGTTTCTTCAACTAGCAGAGTCTGAAACTACAGAGACAGCAGAAAATTTAGGAAAATAAATATTTGTTTGCACAAAAAGTAGAGACAAGTATGCAGGCTATAAAAATAGCAATGTAAAGGAGCATTGAATTTAAAGAACATAGCGAATTGAAGTTCCAAATGTATTCTGAAAACTACCAAATGTTTGCAAATGAACTACTTGAGTGAAAAACAGAACTGTTAAAGAATGTTAAGAATAATAAGATACTTTTTAAAAAAAAGTTTCTTGCTCTAATTCAAAAGTAATCCTTAGTTTCCCCCAGCACATTTGTGGACAACTGCATCTCAGACTAGAGCTCTTATGCAGAGTTCCCAGTGCCTCAAAAAGAGAGCTACACAGAATATTGCCCTAGGAACAGAGAAGATGTGAATAAAATGTGTGCATGTGCTAGAATAAATGTGTGAGGAAAATTGGACAAGGATGTTTTAGTATCAAGACTGAAACAGAAGATAGGGAAAGACAGTTTACCACTGTGGGGATAGGCTGAATTGGGACACCTACCTAAATCCAAACTGGGAGGGATAGACTTGGAATATCTGCTCTGTTTCTACACCCGGAACTTCGCTACCTAGACCCTCAATTTGTTCTGATCTGTTGGCGAGCAGTTGGGAAAAGACTCCCAAATGTCTTTCCGAAACTTCAAAAATTCTTTAGTGCATCCGGATCATTTCCTAACCGCAGGGAGTTTGAGGGAGAACACTTTTAGTAAAACCTCATTAATATTCATTCTGTAGGACTTAGAAAGCTG